AATCTACAGGGTGCCAATGGGTCATGGGCCTGGTGGAACTGTAGGCTACTCCTTCCTTGATTCATGGTGGGGTAGGAGTCTCATGAGGGCCCAGTTCATAGCAGATGCTCGGACTTTACCCAACCTACACAACCTTACCTTGGAGGGTAATCTCTCCACACAGGCCACTAGGGAAAGCACAGATGACTGGGGCCACATGGGAGTGAAGATCTCTAGAAGATGAAAGATGAAAGCAGTGAGTCACAGGCAGAGTACCAAATAGCCAGTTTCTGAGACAAATGGGTAGGACAGCTCAGATTCCCCACTCAGACCTGTTTTTAGTATCAACCTCTGAAGCTCTGATGCTTCTTGGAAGCTGGTGGCACTTCCTCTGTCCTGTCACTAAGTCCCGGGCCCCACCCATGGCTGAGGGCCAGAATTTCCTGCATGTAAGGCAACTGCCAGCTCTGTGATCTTTGTCCCTGGGGGCCAAGACTCCCCCAGGATGGACAGGAGGACACAGGACTTGATTACAAAGCCTTTGAGGACACAGCTGTCCTGCTTAATTATTCTTTTCCCTGGGAGCAATCTACATGGTGCCAATGACTGGCCCTTCTTTGTAGCCTCCTCTGGCAGCATCATCACACTTCTTAAGGACCCCCTGGCCAGGTCCTGCTGGCACCCTCCCACAGGTCAGTTCTTACTGCGCTCTGGTGACATAATCTTGCAGCCTTGTCCCTTGGCCAAAGGGGTCCGAAGGAGTCCTGCCAGACTCTGGTTGCCTCAGCATCCACTGTTGATTTCCTTGCCTCTGGTCCTTGACACATCATTTGAGTTCTTTGAGCTAAACTGTTTCCTGCCAGGACCCTGGTACCAGATTGTGGAAAACATACCATCTTAGTTTTGCCTTCTTGGTCTAGCACAGCAAGCCTCCAAGCTTAGGCAAATACCCTGCTGAATCCTTTGGGACTCTTAACCTTGCATAACAATGGAGTGTGGGGACAGAAAGCCAACTGCTGATGTGGGTGGAGGCCATTCTGTTTTCCTTCCAGGGCATCCTTTGCAGCCTGGAATGACTAGCAGTTCATTAGTTTTGCGGGGCCCTACCCCGAAGTACTGGCATTTCCAAAGGATTGGGGGAATTTTAGGTGCAACTTGTCTGGGAAGTCACACTGCTTATATTCTAATTCTAACTTGGCCACTTTCTGGCTGTGAGACTAGAATTCAATTTCTTCATCTGTTATATGAGAATAATAGTAAAACTTGTCTTTCAAGATTGCTGTGAGGATGGGATTTCAAAAGAACACGTTTTTGTAGTGTCCACTCTTGTGATCTATTAAGTGCTCAATGACTTGGTGACTGTCCTGCCATCTAGACAAGAGGTTTTTGGAATCAGACACTTAAAATGCCATTTAGGAAGTCTGGCCCAGGCCACATCATTGTGCCACCAGATACAGTGCCCTCTGCCCCTTCCATACCTTCTAGGGAGTTTCATTTATGGCAGACTGGAGTAGAAGTTCCCCACATGAGTGGGTTGCCTCCTCTGGGACTTTCCCAAGGTATTCCAGAGAACTGGAACCAAACCAGACCTCAGCCATACATGTCTGGCATGTGACTCCCAGACTCACCTAGTCACCATTTAGGGCCTTGGGTCTCTCATCTGCTAAGAAACCATCCCCAAACTGCACCCTCAGGACCTGCACCTCCCACTCCTGGGTAGGAAGGAGACGATGGGAAGGGGCCCTGAAAAGCAGAGAACAGGCCCCTAAGCTATGGAACAGTGACCGCCACAGTGTGAAATGGTCGCAGTCCACTTTGCAGGACCCTTTCAGACACACCTGCATCAGCTAACAGCTGCAGCAAATAGCAGAGCCATGTTCCTCTCTCTTCTCGTACCCTTCTGCCTTTTCCTCTGTAACCACCTCAGGGCAGCTTATCCCCAAACCAAGAAGAATCCCAACAGCTGACCCCTGACATATGACAGGCCTCCCTGAAGACTCCTGATCTGAGAAAGCTGGGTGCCACTTGGGCCTGGTGCTGTGAAATACACACCCTTTGCAAAGCAGAACGTGACATTTTTCTAATGCACATGTAGAGGCCTTCTGATTCTTGTTGTCTAAAAAGGCTCCCCATTGGTGTTTTGGGGAAACCCAGAGCTGGTCAGCAAATAGCAAACCTGCTCACCAGCAAGCACCGTGCCTGTTTGTGCCAGCTTCACCACTCCTGGGGGTGGGTGCCAAGGCTGAGGGCAGGGCCATTGGATAGTAAATGGAGAGAGGGCCTACAATCTTATTTCTGGCATGTTCCATGCACCTGGCTGCCTGTTACTAAAGTGCAGTCTGGAGGGCTGAGCAACAAATGGCAGGGCCCCTGTAAGCTTCTGTGGCTCCGTGGGCTAAGCTAGGAAGTTGGCAAAATGGTATGATCACCACTGTTGCCAAACACTGTCCCCCAAAATATCATTCCTTGAATATCCCAAAATAAACCTCTCACCCTGAAAACCCTTGCCATCTGGTTTTCTTAATCAGTCCTTTGTCCAAGTATGATCCCAACCAAAACTTCTCTTCTACTAATCCAAGCTCTAAGTCATTAGCCACTACAATTAGAATATTGAACTGCCCTGTACTTTCAGGCATTTGCTAAAATAGCTCTTTTGACGTCCCAACTCTAATAACCGAACTTGAAGATTCAGGAAAGTTAACTGTGAACTACTAACTCTTATGATCAACAGTTTGCATAGAGATCTGAAGCCAACATAAACCCTAACTTGCAGATGTTCAAACATGCGCTGGCAATTCTTTCCCCATATGGAAAGTGACACGGGCTCAGCACTTGCAACCTGTCGGATGTTAATACAGCTGGTTGAGCCTGAGCTGCAAAATAGGACACTAATTGTGATACTGGTAGAAATGACACTGAAATAATTATGTCCTACTATTTGCTGTCACAAAACTCAAAAGCCTCAAGCAGGGGTTGGGAAACAAGAAAGCGAGGCCTCTAGCCCTTTCTGCAAGATGAGACACTGCCAGTGTGTGACCCTCTTCAACCCTGGATTGTGTCTTGGTGCATCTGAGGACAAGGAGACTGCACTGAGTCAAAGAAGGGCATAAAGCTTCCAAGTGACAAGTGACAGGCTTTTTAAGTTTCTTTCTTTCTTTTCTTTTGTTTCATCCTTTCTCTGGGCAATAAAAAGGAAAGGGAAGAGGAACCACCCTCTGCAGTCTTGGTGATTTCTTGTTAAGTACATATATAAATACAAGTGTGTTGAAAGCATGTTCTCAATAAAATTATTAATAACTCTGGGAGGAGCCATATGATGTAGGATGGCAGGGGTGTGGCTCTTGGTGTGTTCCTTATTTCTGTGATTGGAGGCTGGCATGCAGAAGAGCACTTGATGACCACCTCTGGCTGTGGAATGTGGGCTCAGATATCTCCTTGTGTGCTTCCAGGTACCTGCTGCCTAAGCCACTCAAGTGTCTAGGTACTTGACTGAGCTCAGCATGCTCTGAGGCACGGCACATGTGACTCCCCTGGAAGCTAAGAAGTTCTTTGAGATAATAATAATAATAAACAAACAATAAAACACATGTGCACACACACCTCAGTCACCAGTCTATAGCTGTTTCTGTGGATGAGTGATATGAAGTATCCCAGAAGTGGAAATTGGGTTCCCTGGCACATAGAAACTAGACAGCACTCAATAAAATTTAAAGGGCCTCTAGCAGGATCCCCTAGTAAGGGAAAAGTGTAAATTCAATTTTAAGGGGGGGGGGTGCTCCAAAAAATGTGACTTAAATGTCCCAATTCCCTTGGGTAGAGTCCATGAACAGGGGTGGTCTGCCTAGGACACAGGAAAGGCAGCTTCAGGAAGCAAGCAGGAGAGGGATGGGGTGGTGGAGACACCATGGGTGGCACATGTTTCCTTGGCTGTGGCAATAGCACTCTTACCTGGGGACATGGCCAGATCAGGACAAAGCCCTTAGCTCTCAAACTCATGTCTGTATACCTCTGGTATGGTATGGTGTGCTTTTGCAATGATAAAAGTTAGATTTGAAAAAAATGTTCCCTACACAATACTCAAGGGATACACTGATTTCCCAAAAGTTCTGATGAGAGGAAGAGATACAGCCTTTCTAGGGGATTAGTCTTTGCAAAACCAGCATTTTCTCCTCCCCAATAAATTAAGAACTTTTGAAATTTGAATTCTACATTAATTTTCATGAGCCTAGCCCTTGGGACTGTGTTCCAGGTGCCTGAACAGTCTTAACTCAGTGGCCCTGAATGGGACTCAGTCAGGTCATTCTTTAACATTTTCCTCACACCTAACTTAATGAAGGCAGAGGCACACATACCATCATGCAGCGCTGGAAGATGCTGATACAAAAGAACAACTGCACTGGCACTCTGATCCCAGAGAGTAGACAGGCCACTAAGCCTTCATGGCTCTACAGTCACCATGAGTGCTTGACTTTCCCCCCTCCACCTCCCTCCTCTCAAGTCCATTTGTCTGCTTGGCCATCTCCATTTACCGTGACTGGTTCAAGACAGTTTGTATTCTTTCAAGTTAAAAGCTGAGCATCAAATTAGAATAGCGAATAATGTGTGGCAAATGTTCATGAAATAGTTGGGCTTGTGTATTCCTATGTTAAATGCAGTATTCCAGGGTTCTCACTCCGCTCAGGCAAAGTATAACTTCAATTTCTTTAACCCTGCATTGAGGATCAATTTTTCGTTGTGTCTTTTGTGTGTGTGCATGCATTTTCAGTGCTGGGGAATGAATCCAGGGCCTTGAGCATTGGTTAGGTAAGTGGTTTCCAATTGAGCTACTCCCCCTGTCCAAGGATCAATTTTTCTGCTATGGAGACATTGATTTGTCTTTCCTAGTCTCTATTGTACTATCTACTGGAGGAAAACAGCCTCTGAACTGAGCCTGTAGCAGGTTCAATCTTGCTTTGTTAGCCTTCATAGAAACCCATGTGATCTTCAAGCTCCAATAAAGGAAGAATGCCTTGCACATGATGTTGAACTTGGTTAAGTTGCCCTTTATTAACAAAAATGTGTAGGTTTTGGTAAATTCCACTGTGGAGAACACAAACCATGGGATAAAACATACATCAAGAGACATTTCCCAAGCTGGGGAATTTAAGAACATGAGGAAAGAGTTCACACTGCACAATCCCCCAGTACTGGCTTCCTCCTTGAGTAGTTGTTCATGAGAAACAATTTACAATTCCTAAACAGTAACCAAAACAGTGCAAGAGGGCTCTTGAGATAGTTGTATGGGCGTCAAAAGTCAGGTTAAAAAAACAGACACAGAAGTGGAGTTTTGGTAAAAATATTTTCTTTTGCTAAATAATCTCACAGTTCTCAACGTATTACAACATTAGACATGTATGCAAGTTTACAAAACCACTGTTGGACACTTAAAAATAAACTCTATGTTGCTTTTCTTTTTGGCAGCACCAGCCTAAACTTTGCAATATTTCAGAAACTTCAGGTACATTACAATCTTCTGAGAAAGGCCCAATACTTCAGAATTCCTGGAGTGGCTGTGGAGAAAGAACATTACTGGCAACAAATATAAAAACAATTCAAAACCTACAGGAATATACGTGGTCATTCATAAATGTTTACACATATTTAACCATTCACTCTAATAGCCTTAATATTTTTCTGTCCTTTCATTGAAGTGCTGGGGATCAAACCCAGTGTTTCATACATGCTAGGCAACTGCTATACCACTGAGTTACATCCTTAGCCCTCTTAAATGCTTTTTCTGTTAGCATATTTACATTTCTTTTGGTTTACAGAAAAAAATATACTCAACAGGCAAATTGTTTTAGCTGAAGAAATGATTCTAGGGCCACATTTCCCTTTTTGGTTGCACATCTGGGGCCTGTACATGTGCACAGTCAGAGACTTTGTTTTCCTTGGTCCCCAAAGAGCTCACCTTTGACATACCCTCTACATGAACAGGAAAATTGCTCTTCTTATTCAGGAGCTCTTTTTGTGGTGGAATTCGGAGAACCCAGGTTGCAACATCTTTTTAGGGAGAGGTTGAGTATATTTTTTTCCTGTGGCTCTGCGTGCTTAAGAAATTTAAGTTGGTATAAAGGATTGACCACTGAGTTGGGCACAGCATTCCAGGATGCCTGTTGCCTAGCTGCAAACTGTGGGTGCTCTCACAGCCTGAATGTGGAACTTTGCCCTTCAGAAAGCATTATGGGAACCCAAGTAAAAAATTTAAGCAGCTCAATGATATTGATGTCTTCCCCTTTGGCTTCAAAAGCAATCAGAACTGAACATTTTGAATTATGAGGCAGAATTCACTGGATTAACACAAACACACACAAAAACTTTTCAAACATTATTTAATGAGGTAGCTGAGATCAAAGATCAAATCCACAGCATACACCAAGGAACTTAATAAATGATCAGGCATTTTGAAATGCAAACATCTACAGTGTCTAACAAATATTCTTCCTTTCCATTTCCTGTAGGTACATGCAAACCTTGAGAAAGGCCCTGCAAAGTGAGAACAGCAAGGCTGGGAGTGCATGAAGCTGGACAGGAGGAGACAGGAAGGGCCCAACAATGTATGCCAAGTTTGGCTGATGTACTCCTGCTCATCATGGAATTCAATCAAGGTCAGTCTTACATGGAACAAACATCACTTAGAACCAGACACATGATGGGTGGCCTTGGCTTGAGGCAGCAAGGAGTACAGGGCCTGGTGCACTTATACTAAGCTTGAGGCAATACTGAGTATGCCCTCCACCCCCCAACACTTTCCAGGGTCCCTGGAGCCACCTTCCCTCAGGAGGGGTCTGGGCCCCATCTTTCCCCACTATACCATCCCAGGTTCTGGGAGAGGCTATTGCTTTCAGCTGCTCATCCCCTGAGTTCTCAACCTCTGCTCCCAGGTATAGAATACATTCCATGCTGCTTGCTGAGAAGCTTTTCAGAAGTCAAATTCAAATGCCTTCCATTTGGAGCCAAAGGGAAAGGTGGCCATGCCAATCCTGGCAGCATGAATTTTATGACTCCCAGCAATACGAACATTCAGAGCTCACCCACGCAGACACATTCACTTGCACACACCCTCACACAATGCATACCCTTCTACATGCTCACAGGCATACACTCTCACATGTTCTTCAGTGCTGTACATATGCACTCACTGACATGTGCACACATTGTGTGTGTGTGTGTGTGTGTGTGTCAGCCCAGTAGCATCCCAGGTACAGCAAGCTCAGGTGAGGCCATAATCCAAGGTCAGGGGGAAAGGTGGGTGACGTAAAAGGACTTGGGACTGGGTGGGGTCACTGGGGAAAGAGCCCTGAGCTGTCCACTTTGCAGTGGTCATTCACTTTGCAGTCCTTGGAGGAAGTAGCCAGCACACCAGCACACCACAGGGAGCCTGCAGGCAACCCGGAAGACAAGCAGCAGGAAGGAAGGCACCAGATCCCTCTGTGTTAGGTTTCTGTGGTATAGTTATTGTAGGCCAGGGGAGGCAAGGCCGAAAAGCTGCTCCACCGCCTGGTGCCAGGCTGGGACTCCACACGCCCTTGCTCTTTATATTTACCCAGAATGTTTTTGGCTTCCTCTGCATCCCGCAAAGGATTCTCCCCATATTCTTCCTTCAGCCACTGCCGATACTGTAGAAATTGGAAATAAATTTGAAATGTCACACACCTTCATTCACTGTGATTTTCACCTGTTACTTAATGGTCGAGATGATGGCACACGTAAACAGGGAAATCAAAGGGCACTGGGCAATCACAGCTAACAGAAATAACTATTCCTTCAAGGTTTGGGCCTGAGGACATAAAAATAAGTCAAATCAATGCATCTACTTGACAGACTTGGATGCAGCAGTTACTGTCTGTTGCTGAGGGTTCCTTACAAGAAATAAGTGTCTTCATGCTATCTGTTTAATACTGGCAGCCAAGATTAAATTGCTGAATCCAGAAGAAAAACATGGAGAATTTTTACAATTCAGTAATTTTATAAAGAAGAACCTAAAATCTGAGTTTACATGATTAGTGGTGAACAATTTCCCTACTACCCTCTCTTGGCTAAATACATCTTTAAAAACTTAAAGGCTAAATGAATTAAAAGCAAAAAAGAAAAGCAAGCAAGCAAAGCAAATGAAGAAAATGATATTTCACTGAAAGGAAGAGGAACATGCTAATATTAGGAGTACCAGGCGTAAGGAAAATGACAAGGGATATAAGACCCTATGGTTGTAGCTGGGGCACAATAGATTGGTGACAACTTCTGTGGGGATAAAGGTGAGCACCCTTGAACCCAATATCCTCTGTGGGCCTCTTCAGTTCCAACCTTCTTGATTCTGGGACTGAAGGAATTGTCCCAGGGCAGTTGCCTGCGTCTGAAAAGCCTCGTGCAAATGAGCATTTCTTACCTGGTGGACTTCATGTTTCTCAAACTCCTGGAGCTGCCTCTGGAAGCCCAGATTGGGGTTGGCACAGGATCTCCCTGCACGCACAGTGTGCAGGGCATCCTCCCAGCCAAAGTCCGTGACGGTCATGATATAAGCAATCACCAGCGTCACACTCCTGGAGACCCCAGCCAAGCTGCAGAATGGAGAGGGTCATGAGTGCAAGGGCAGTTTTGGAACCATGGGTCTGTTCACCCAACCCATTTGGGGCTGGGGATTCAGAGCATCTAATTTTAGGGAGTCTTCCTGCTTTGGATTACACATGGACAGCATGAAAGTATGTTACCAGGAAATCCTTTGGAAACATAACAGTTTCCCCCTACTCTGTGCCACTAGATCTCAGGCATCCTTTAAACATTTTGGCCTCATGCTTCATTGATTTTCTATAGGATAGAGCTACAGACACTTCTACCTTATGATGTTCAATTGCTCCTGAACCTCTTCTCAGACACTTCCTATTTTTTTGGTCAAATAAAATAACTCAAATATACCAAGGGGACTTGAGGCTTCCTGGACCTGTGGAACAAGTCCATTTATAAACTGCATTAGTTTAGAATGTGTCATGGTTTTTAAAAGTCTGGTTTGGTTTTCTTATCGACATGAGGAATAAAACTGATTTTTAGAACCCATGAAATCCAGAAGCCCTTAGAAAATCTTACTTTTGTATTTTTTTTGACATAATTGAGCAGAATACTAGAGCAGGCACACTGCAAGTGCTCTGGGGCCTGGGGTCAAATGCTCTGTGGCACTAACGGTCAACTCCAGCAGGCTAAGTAAGGAAACTATTATGGTTTGGATCTGGGATGTCTTCCAAAAGCTCATATTAAAAATATGGTCCGTAGTGTAGCGAGGTTCATAGGTACTGATTGGATCATGTGGGCTCTGACCTCATCAGTGAATTAATTCACATGATAGATTAATCCACTGGTAGCTGGATGGACTACTGAGAGGTAGGACTTAGTTGGAAGAAGCAGGTTACCGAGGGCATGCCCGGAGGGGTTTATTTTCTCTGGGACCCCTTCCTCTCCCACTCTCTGTTTCTAGGTTGACATAAGCAGAGCAACCTTCCTCTGTTGGGCCCTTCTGCCATGATACTTCTGCCGGGAAGTTGGCCAACCGTGGACTGAATCCTCTTAAACTGCAAACTAAAATAAAATTTTCCTCCTCTCAGTTGTTCTTGTATAGTATTCTGGTCACAGTGGCACAAAGTTGACTAACATAGAGACCAATTTAAAATACATATGCAAATTAAGGCAACCATAGAAAAGTTGTGCTTTGACAGACTTAGAGTGTTCCAGCAACGGTTTAAGATTGGGAAGTCTAGCAAATGTCTCATTTTTAGAAAAGCCTTATAATTAGATGTATATGGTGGTGTGAAATAAGAATTTCTAGACTATCTGGCCAACACATATTTAAATAATAATAAAATAATTAATAATAATAATAATAACACCACTACCTTACTCTTAAGTAGTAGTTCTTTATATAAGGACTTTAAATAAAAAACACTAAGGGAGTTTTACAAAAATAAACCCTCATAGCAAGGCTATAACCCTGAATATCTGAATTCACCAGGAGCATGGAAAAGCCCAGGGGTTGGAATTTCAGAACTTCTCTTTATTTTACCTCCAAATGCACTCATAGGTGCTTTAAAGTCAAATGTAACTGAACATAAAAAAACAACCATTTGTATGTGTCACATTTCCTACTCTTTTAAAAAGTGAAATGAAAAAATCACACTATATCAAAGTTGTATAAACTGGCAGAACACCACTCTCGAAGTCACTGAAATTGCTCATGCCCCGACTAGCCTTCAGAACACATTGCAGTTGTCCTAAGTGGCTTCTCTGGCTACCATGCATGCGTTCTCTCGGTCCTGACAGGGCTGCCACCAACCTTAGCAGCAACACTCCCAGGAGCTGGCTTCACATTTTCAAAGAGTTTTGCACTGCAAGGGTGGCTGTTTTGGGCGAAGTCAAAAAAGATTGTTGTGCTTTAAGATAATTAATGTCACACCTTATTCAAAGGGAAAGGGGGCAGGTCCAGCCTGCACCTTCATAGACAACAGAGCCCTGCATCCAGAATGTTGACTACTAGTTCCCCAGACAAATTAGCTATTACCATGATTACTACTGGTAACACAAATGACATTCCCCTGAGAACTCACCATGTGCCAGATATAATATTTTCCAGGCCTAAGACCAAGAATTTTATATGCATTCTCTGGTTTGAGTATGTAGAGTAACTTTCTTTTCACAGTATGTATATGTGTGCATAGTTGTCTCTTGGTGTCCATGGGACACTGTTTCCAGGACACACCCCAGATACCAAAATGCTCAAGTCTCTTATACAAAATGGCATAATATTTGCATAGAACCCACACATATCCTCCTTCATACTTTACATCTTCTCTGGATTATAATGTAGAAATACAACATAAAGGCTATGTCAATAGTGGTATTTCTTAAGGAATAATGACAAGAAAAAATAAGTCTGTACATGTTTCATATAGAGGCAACATTTTCTTTTCCTGAATGATTTTGATTCATGGTGGGTTGAATCATGAATTCAGAATCCGTGGATAGGGTGCATCAACACTGTTTCTCTCTTTCTCTCTCCCCCCACCATCTCTATAAAATATAGAAGAGTATAGGTAGATAGTTGTCAATAAACTAATTCTGAGTCTATTTAGATTGTTTCAAAGAAAAGTAGTGAGCCAAACACTCTTAAAAGCCCCAGGCTGTAAATGGAGAGGAAATGGTCATATTGGTGTTACAGTAACACATTACTAAACACCTACATTTGCAATCAAAATTCTCTAGGAAGAAACAGTGCTTTGAAAAGGTCACTGAGGTTTCAGGGATGAACCTACAGAATGGGTAGTTGTCTCTTGGTGTCCATGGGACACTGTTTCCAGGAGGCCCTTCTGATGAAATGTTAAGACACAGGCTAGCAAAAAACAGTGTCTGTTGACTAGTAACCCTCACAGTCCCTATAGAAATCCTCACAGTGAGTAAAATGGAAAACAACAAAAGAAAAGCAAAACCAGGTAGGGTTTTGTTGAAACAAAAACAGGCAATGACTAATGCATATCTGGGAGAGGTGGAATGTGTGTTTGAGACTCTGGGTTTAGGAAAAAACATTAGGAGATGAAAGAATCACACAGAGAAAGACACTCACGAGACATCAAGCTAAGCAGAAAATACTAAGTAAGGTATTATTCAGAAAGAAACATACGTACCAGTGCACCAGACAGCCCTCACCTTGGAGTCTGCACTCATGAATGAATTTAATACTTTCTTTGAAATGTCTTGTCCTAGGCACAGGATAAAAAAGAGAAAGAGAGAGAGAGAAGTGACATAGACTTTACTCAACATATAATGAAAAGAAAAATCCACCTAACACCTTTCTGAAAGAGCTCGAGTCCTACACCTTCAAAACCTGGTCAACTATCTGGGACCAGGGCTGCGTTAGCCTTAGAATGGGTCACAGGCATGCTGAAGTCTGGGGAAGGCTGCCCATGGTGTGGAATTTTTAGAATCTCTCTACAGAGCATCCATGAAACACAAAGTTGTCATTTACTGGTATTTCTGCTCAGCCTGCTATGTTCAATCCGAATCAATGGCTCAACCAGGGACCTTCATGCTGGCTGTGAATGCTGTAGAGTCAAGTGAACTAGATAAGGAAGGCGTCCAGGCCGTGTGTTCCCTGTCCTAGAAGCTAGTTTACTTGTGACAACCTGAGAAGCCTAAAAGCATCCTCCCACAATGGACTCTCCAGATTTTGGTAGTTCTGTCTGTATGTCACTGGACAGCTATGGGGAAATGGAAATTACAGCTATGGGGAAATGGAAATTTCACCTCTGATCCCTGCTCTGCCATTCCCTGTATTTTGGGGAATGCAACTCAGAGATTAGGCATGACCCCTCACGGGGTGGACCGGGTCATGTGTATCAACCTATTCTGAAATTCTAAATGATTATTAGTGCCACAATCCTTCCTTCTTCTGACCCTCAGATTTTTGGGCCACCCCTTTCACTAGTCACTTATTCGGCTCCTAACTGTTGAGGAAGTGCCTATTTATATGTCCTTGCTCACAGGCATGGGCCGCTCCTTTCTGAGCAGCTTTTCAGAGGTCAAGTTCAAATGCTGGGTTGTTTGAGATACAAATATGGGGACCCACTTTGATGAGTTCCCAACTGGTGTGTGTGCCCTATACTAAATGTACAGCATTCTGGACTGAGCTGTGGCCTAACTGCAGGTACTCCAGTGGACCAAGTACCTGCTTTTAAAGTACATTCTATCTTTGACTGGCTTCTACAGCAGTAAAACACCAAAAGCTACCCATGAACTAAATACATTTCCATTTCAACACTGAGTACTGACTATCTACCTGGGATGCTGTTAAGCTTCAAGACATTCAGTGACAAATAAGATGATGTTTCTGACTGCTGAATGAGAGGGCAAGTGCAATGAATCAGAACGGGAAGCTCAGGTGTGGTGTAACAACTCTCAGCTACTAACTACAGAAGAAACCCAAAAGCCTCACTGGAGGTGCTCACTGAGATTGGGATGAATGGGAGGTAGAAGACATTTTAAACCTGCATACATACATACATAAGGAACCCAGGCACCCATGTTCTGTCCATAACCAAAGTGTTGCTTCAGGTGGAAAGTCCAAGTAGGCTAACCCAAAGATTCCAGACTCTTACCTGAAGGGTCTAAATAGCATGACACTGCAAGATCAGCTTTCCATAAATGTCCTAAAGACAAATGCTCCCAGAATATAAATTTATCAAGTGACTCAGAATTGCAACATTTCCCCAAACACTGGCTTTGTACACAGCAGGCAAGAAAGCATTCTTGCTCTAATCTTGAAATCTGAAGTTTTAGTACTGAGAGACCTCAGAGGAGCCAGGCAGCAAAACTGAGTGCAAAGAGGGGTGAAATGGGGTGCTGGGCTTCCCACTGTGGGCTACAGGAGAGAAGGAAGGCTTGGTGCTGATAGAGCTTCCTATCTCTCAAGCAAAACCAGCCACTGAGAGGTGACAGTGAAGCATTCTGATCTGGAAGTACTGGATATGTGGCCAGACATGGCCAGTTGCCCCGGTTGTGGGGGACAGCAAAGAGCTCAGGCCTGGGGAATGGCCTAGTTTCCTCCAGCTACGGCAATGGAGAAGGAAAGGGAAGGCTACATGTACGTGGTGATTTCTGGAAAAGTGTTCCCTTCCCGAGGAAAGGAAATTGATCGATCTTTGCCTCTAGTTTGTTGCCAGGGAATGGCAAGAACCATGCTCAAGGTTGTATCACCACCTGTGACCACAGTGACAACTCCCCAGAGTGAAAGGACACAGGATGGAAAGGCCAGACTCCTAGAGGACATCCAGGGTCTGCTGCCCAGGCCTGGGAGTACTACTAGCAGGCTTCCTAGCAAAGGCCTCTATCCCTGAGAACACAGTTTTCTACTTATGGCTAAATACACTCTCCCTGATAACAGCAACTAATTCAACAATTTATAAAACTCTGGGACAATTTGTGTAGTCTAGAAGTAGCTCCCAGGTTATTCAGATTCCAGGGCTCTCTCTATTTTATTTATTTAAAAAAATAAATGACAGTGGAATGCATTACAATTCTTATTACACATATACAGCACAATTTTTCATATCTCTGGTTGTATATAAAGTATGTTGACACCAATTCATGTCTTCATACATGTACTTTGGATAATGATGTCTATCACATTCCACCATCCTTGCTAATCCCCTGCCCCCTCTCTTCCCCTCTCACCCCTCTGTCCTATCTAGAGTTCATCTATTCCTCCCATGCTCTCCCTCCCTACCCCACTATGAGTCAGCCTCCTTATATCAGAAACATTTGGCATTTGTTTTTTTGGAATTGGCTAACTTCACTTAGCATTATATTCTCCAACATTATCCATTTACCTGCAAATGCCATGTTTTTATTCTCTTTTATTGCTCAGTATAATTGCATTGTGTATATATGCCACATTATTTTATCCATTCTTATACTGAAGGGCATCTAGGTTGGTTCCACAGTTTAGCTATTGTGAATTGTGTTGCTATAAACATTGATGTGGCTGTGTCCCTGTAGTATGCTGATTTTAATCCTTTGAGTATAGACCGAGGAATGGGATAGCTGGGTCAAATGGTGGTTCCATTCCCAGATTTTCAAGGAATCTCCATACTGCTTTCCATAATAGTTGCACCAATTTGCAGTCCCACCAGCAATGTAGGAGTGTACCGTTTTCCCCACATCCTTGACAACACTTCTTGTTGCTTGTCTTCATAACAGCTGCCATTCTGACTGGAGTGAGATGATATCTTGGAGTAGTTTTGATTTGTATTTCTCTAATTGCTAGAGATGATGAACACTTTTTCATATATTTTTTGATTGATTGTATATCCTCTTCTGAGAAGTGTCTGTTCAGTTCCTTGGCCCATTTATTGATTGGGTTATTTGTTTTTTTGGTGCTTAGCTTTTTGAGTTCTTTATATATCCTAGTGTCTATCTGATGTGTGACGGGTAAAGATTTGCTCCCAAGATGTAGGCTCTCTGTTCACCTCACAGATTTTTTCTTTTGCTGAGAAAAAACTTTTTAGTTTGAATCCATCCCATTTATTGATTCTTGGTTTTAATTCTTATGCTATAGGAGTCTTATTAAGGAAGTTAGGGCCTAATACCACATGATGAAGACCAGGACCTACTTTTTCTTCTAATAGACGCAGAGACTGGTTGACTGCAGGAGGTGGCCAGGGAAGGCATGTTCCTTTGTCCACCAGGTTGTCCACACTGTGACCCCCAAGAGATCCTCACACAGCTGTAACCTCTGATCTTGCTTATTGTTGTGGGGTCTCTTCCCGTTTGGGGAGCATTGGGTCTGTGAGCACTGGCAGCCAAAATAGCAAAAGCAAATCTAGAAATGATGACAACTACCTGGATGAATGAGTAAACCACAGAGCCCTTCAGAAAACACTGTGAAGACACAAGTTAGCAGGGACCTTCTCTGATCCAGAGCAGGACTTGGAGTCTTGGAAACATGGCTGGTAGGGGCTCATCAAGGTCTTACAAAGAGAATAACTAAATCTCTTTACTGAAGGCTCAAAGTAGGACAACTTGTTTTTACCCCTGTACATTGCAAACCACAGGTATGATGAAATCAGGCTTCCTATAGATTATGCTGTTGATCCTCCACCTTTAAAATAAGGGAAGGCTGTGCTCATCTGGGGAATATCCAAACCTACCCTGAGTCCAGAACAGGTGAGCAAAGAAATCTAGGAAGCAGAGGGGAGATGTTCCCCACTCCTGGCTCCCTGCTGGTTCTTTCCTCCTTCTGGTCTGCCCATAACAAGGGTTAAATACAAGATAACCCATGGTATATGGCTCCCATCCAACACTCTGTTGGGGGAAAGGGCTGCTCACAGTCCCAGTCCAGGGGTATGAATAAAACTCCAGAGGGGGACTGCTCAGAACCCCATTGTGAAACTTGACTCATGCACATAACTAGGCACGAGGCCAAGTTTGGCAGACATTGCTAGAAATGCCTTTTCCAGGAAAAGCCAGGAGGCAGGCAAGCTCACTGGTATAAAACTGTGTGTGGCTGACAGTGTGCGGTGGGTGTGGGGGGGTTTATTTCCAGGGAAGCCAATGACATAAGCCCAAGCTCTGGTCATTAGACACCCTCCACAGTGGGAAATACCCACGGCCTGGGTTCTTCTATTGCTCAACTCCGATTTGAAGCAGAAGCACAAATCTGAGGCACCATGCCACCGCGAGCTATTTCAATGAAGGCAAGTTCCCTATTCTTGTTCTTTATTTGATTGCTTCCATACAAAGACATGTTATAAGCTCTATATGCAGAAAATAAGCTAAGAACATCCAGAAGGAAGCATGACTTCCAGGTGTGTTACACTTACCCACAGCACCTTGGGGTCATCATGCCCTGCTTCTGCTGACAGACCTGGGAGGACACCTTAGTGAGTGGCAGGAGTGTGTCCACAGACAGGTGGCCTCTATGTGGACTCAGCAAACAGCCCAGCAGCAGCCAACTGTCCCCCTTCCAGCTCAATGACCAGTGGCACTCACCCCCATCTCTTTGCATCAGACAACAAAGTCAGTGACCAAATGGGCTTTTCTGACCTTCTGAGAGTTCAAGAAGGACAGTGGATGGCTCTCATAAACCACATCAGAGGATTCTCATTTTCAAAGCCAATAATTACTTCTTGCTCCAAGAGCGTGAGATTTGGAGGCTATGATCCCCATGGTAGGACAGGAAACAGTCAGGTCCTACTCACGAGAA